TTGTAACATGACCTTTATCATATATCAAGTTCTCTTTTATGTGTGTGTCTATTTATAGGTTCTTCACTCATCTATGTTGGCCCATTTGTCTATATTCTAAAATCACATTGTTTAATTCTTATAGCTTTGCAGTAAATCTTTATTTGTAGAGCACATCTCTCTTTTTCAAAATTATTCTGCTTATACTGGATATGTGGATTAATTTGTGGGGAGATCGGCACCTTTATGATATTGACTTCCCATTCATGAACATTGTCTTTCTTCATTTAAGTCTTCTTTAATCCTTCAGTCAAGATTTAGCATTTCACCCTGAGATATTTTGATAGGGAATATGATGTAGTCTTGGCATAATGAAAGGGAGGCACTAACTTAGAAACCTGACTGGCCATACTACAGAGAAAGCTTGCCATGTACACACACAGTTAAACTCTCAGCTCTCTTAGAGAATCCACAGGCAGCTATTGTTCACTCTGATGACCCAGTGAGTTATTCAAGGCAGGAGACTGATCGATCTTTTTGGTAGCTGCCAACTAATCAACAACTTTCAAGCATTAAGAAGTGGAAAATGTGATTTCCTATTGCAAACAATCTGTGGTTTTCCTTTCTCTTCCTCTTTTCTCTATCTCTTATTTAAATCTTATTGCCTTTCTTAGCGAAAGTCACTTACTGGTTCCATTGCCTTCTTTTATATACAAGTAAATAACAGGTTATTAATAAACTGTTTATCTTTGATTATTCATTGATACTCCATTAGGATTTTCTACCTCTTTCAGACCTACATCCTTATAGTTTTGTTACAATTGTGAGTGCAATCTTTCAAAAATTATATCTCCAATTGATTATTACTACTGCAAAAAGAGCTATCATTGTCTGCCTTGGGTTGCTCTGAGGAATTTCCATAAATCCCTTAGTAGATGCACATTGGGCCTTCTCTAAGTTTCCTCTGTCCTTTCCACAGAAATCTAGAAATGATGAAAAGTATTAGTTTAGGTACCAAAAGATAATCAGGAAGTGTAAAGCTATAAAAAATCATTTAATAAAAAATATAGTAGTCACTAATCAATAAGGCTTTATGAAGCTATAGGCAGCTTTGAGCATGTGCGCTTCTGCAATTAAATGTTAATTCCTTCTCTTTATTCCACAAGCGCTTATGAAGAACAAGCATATCACACTTTTGTTTGAGGAAAAGGTAATTCTGAATTCAGGTTAGAAGATGCTAATGAGAGAATGACAAGGGAAGTCACTCTTCAGTGACATCAATGTTCTTGACACATTGCTACTTCCTTGTATTTACATCCACTAAATACTCCATAATAGTAGCCAACATAGAAGTATAATTAAGCTAATTATCTTCAGATGTTATCAGTTAAATTTTAATATTTCCTTTCCATTGGCAGGGTTGGGGAGGAGGTTAGTGAACACCTTAGAAACATGTGGAAATGATTATATTCCATTTTGCATAAGTGTATGTGTGTTGGTTGAACTAATTTTCAGTTCATGGAAATAATACTTGCCCCCAACCATCTCCCACCCCTGCCAAATTGAGGGAGAAAAAAAATCGATCAAAAGCAGAATCATTCTTAATAAATTGCATGTTTGGTTTCAGTTGAGCTTCAGAGAATTGCTGACTTGACCTAGAGAACAAACTCTATCTTTTCACACACAATCTTTAAAGACAAGTATTTTTGAGGATCCCGCCTGAAAGCTCACCTCTGTTCCACAAAGGGCTGCTCTATTTTACCAGTCATTAAAAGGACCACTCTACCCTCAACTGGAATAAATATTTAAATAACTTTTCTTTTCTACCAAGGTACAATAGTGGCCTAAATAACCAGTTTGTGAACCACAAAGCTACTGACAAATGAGGTTTGCACTAATTACATACTGAAGAAACTCCCATTCAGTAATGAATTTCATGTTAATTATTATCCTGATTTTGTATCTGGCTGACAACCAAAAACAACTGTGATCTGTTCCTAGACTATTCCAAGAATGAATAACAGCCTTTGACAAACATCCCATTTCTGTAAACAATGCAAATCACATACATGCAGAGTTCCCGGCAATGATTCCAAGTTTAGTTGCCTGCTGTGGATTCTGGACAAATGGTTCACTTGGACTGCTTTTCAGTGTGGTGAATGAATGGAATTAGCCCTCTGAGAGGAAGCTAACTAGAAAGTTTCTCTAATGCAGTGTAAAAGTTAATTGTGCCAAGAGGCCCTAATTGAGAAGGAGTTGAGGAAATGTTACTTAAAGGTCAAAAATGACACCCCCACCCCAAATTAAATTTTTAGGTGGAAGAGTTTCACAAAGAAGTTAGGCTGTTCTGTTTTTCAAAAATTAAGTTGAAAAAAATAAAGGTAAAAAAGAAGAAAAATTAAAGACCTAAAAAGATAACAATAGTTTTACCCAAAATGTCACAAGATGTTTTCTGCAGTTAATGCTACTCCTGTTCAAAACGTTATATGTATTGGGGATAAACTTGTTACTTCCACAACTATAAATTTACATTCTTTACTATAAACCTATGCACTGACTTGAAAGGACATCGTGGAGATAATCGCCAGTGTTCCTTCCTCACCTCATTCAGAACAAGTTATTCATACTATTTTAACAATAATTTGCATTTAGAAGGGTTTTCACATTTATAAGGCCCTTTTCATGCATAGTCTGTGATGGAATTCTCACAGTGTCTTCAACATAAAATACTAAGGACAGAGCAATAGAGAATAGTCATGGTGGGTTTTTTCCATCAACAAACACTTAGCACAACTGAGCACTTACTGTTTTCAAGGGCAGGACTCTTGATGCTAGGGAGGGGAGAATCCACATGGATCCCCACCGCAAGGAGCAGAGCTACTAATCCAGTAGGAGAGGTGAAATAAGTGCATAAATGTTTAGGATACTAGAGAGGACTTACTTGAAAGCAGACGGAGTTGTACAAACAGATTATGTTGCTCAACTATTTTCCCTCTCACCCACCTGCGCTTGCCAAGTGGTGTGTGTGACCTATACCAGGAAGCGCTCTGGATGAGTCTCTCTGCCAGGGCCTCCTCCCGACACAGCAGAAACTCCTAAGTAAGGGGCACCAGAGGAATTTCCACTTTTCTGGCTATTCATGCAAGTAACAACTCATGTTTAAATTCTTCACCTTAGACAAACACAGAGATGATGGTGATTCATCATTTCATGTCTATTTAGAACACAAAGTTACACTTTAAAAGTTTTATATCCTCTGGCCCAAATGAAGTGCTCAGAGAAAGAGACACACCTTCCACAGAAATTGTTAGAATTTCACAAACGAATTCGGAGGCTGAAATAGCTTCTGGTATTTAGGAAGCTTTGATCTTTCCGTTTCCCTCACATTTTCTTGTATAACCCCAGTTCTCGCTGTGTTGGTAGGGAATTCCTCTTTCAGGTTTAACGCTTCAACCCGCTCGATTAATCATGACCTCGGTAGGTTTCAGGAAACTCAGCAGCACGCACCGTTTTTATTGTGATGTAAATCAACGTAACGCCATGTACTGATAATGTTCATGACACCTCCAATGCTTGCCAAGTGACAAAAACTGTTTCAGGTGGCACCACCATAACAATTCCATTATTTCATAATTAGTTCACATTATTCCATTCCTTCACGGTGTAAATTATGCAATAATTAGACTTGCTTATGAAGTTTGAATGCAGTATCCACATAGCAACACTTTCCAGGACTTTCTATAAACCAAATCCAAAATCGGCTAACACATTTCAGATTTTACGTAGTATCAAATGGGACAAAATTAAAACATAACTACACGATACTGTTCATAGAAAGGAGGAATAAAACTTAAGCGGTAATGTGTGTGTACCAGAGGAGATCACACAATAAAAAGCCTTGAGCAAACAACAAAAGTTTAGAAGGCTTAAAGCTCTGCATTTTCATAGTTTACTGGGAAAAAGATATACACATATATACACATACACCACATGAAAATTAATTATAATACACTTGGGAAACTTTGCCACTGTTCGACCATACCGGCCAAGCTCTGCGAAGGGTGTGAATGTCCACTATAGAGAGGGTGGGATGGCGAAAACGGCAAGAGGTGGCCACTGAGTGACTGAGACAGCTAATTTACTCAAAGTTTGGAAGAGAAGTTTAGAGACAAATATGCAAAAACACTCTTGAGAGAGGGCTGTAGGGGACAGAGTAGAGGAGGCAGGAATAAAGACACATATGTGTTTGCTTTGCAGGTGTTCTAAGGCATTTTTTTCTGCGATCCTACCATTTTATGACTGGACAAGAAAGCCACTGTCTTGTGCATAGAGCATCCTCTAACTACAGTGAGAGTCCTTCTAAGCTCAAGGTCACCACCACGAAGAGCCACACTTAGAACTTTCTGTAGTTACCAATCCAATGCTCACAATAAAATACAAATTACCCATCGCAGTTCGATCTGCAAGTAAGAGGGACCTGCATCTTGACCTCTCCCATCAATGATACTACTTGTTTTCAATTGAGAGCTCACTTTTCTAGACTTTCCCCCCCAAAACCACCACCAGAGAAACAAACTTTCATAAAATAAATACAACTAACACTCTGAAGTAAAAATATCCACAAAGAAGCTAGGATTGGAAGACGGTCGAATTTCCATTGACCCATAAAACAATTTCGGCTTTAAATATAAACCTTTTTTCTTCACTCATTTAAATTATTACCATTTCATGTTTAGACTCGCTGGCAAAACATCAGTTGTTTTCATGTGAATCTTCCACATGCTGCCCCAAACAAACCTTAGCGCTTCAGTAAGATGTCTGAAGCTTGCCAGACACAGAAAAAGTCGAAAGCTGCCCCGTGCAGCCGGTCCACGGCCCTCTCGCTGCTTCCCTCTCCCTGTCACAGATATGAAAAATGCCACCCAAACCTCTTCAGATCTGCTAAAACCAACCACCACCACGGGTCAGAATTAGCAATTGAACTCCCGTGTTTCTAAGAATAAATAGGAGAGACACTGTACCGAGTCTTCAGTTTTCTGAGTGTTCAAGAGGTCAGACAGGAAATCTTCGTATAAGTTCGCTCTTCCAACCAGTGGGAATTCCCTCAGGAAAACGAGCCCGTCATTTTGGTCTCCACATACCTAGAGAGATAAGATAGCTGAGTTAAGCTTCAGACAGAGCCTGGGGGGAGGGGGCACCGAGGCACTGATGGCTCAGGGTTGTAGAAACTTGGCTCCCTGTCAAGTCTGATTAGAGCAATCAAAAACAACGCGTGCAAATACATATTAATGTAAGAGCCACTAAAATATTCTGACATGTGGCTAAGCCTTGGTTGAATGCCAGGAAAGTCCCCTGCTAAGTTGGTGCCTCTTAACTGACTGGTGTGCATGTCAAAATTTGGTGATTATAGGTTATCTGTGTGGCAAGGTCCATTGTGGTCAGGCTCCTAGACTCATTCCATTGGGCTATCCATCTGTGTGTGGCACATCGGCGGGGTCTTGGACCCACGGAGATCTATCCCTAGTCCCATAGATCGGAGTCCCATAGATCTGAGCACCAGGTGGGTCCTGATGTCCTATTAAATATCTAGGATGAGCTATCTGGGATTGGAGGGGTCGGCCTGAGCCCAGAACTGACTTCCTGGGTTAATCAAGGGCTTTAGAACCAGATGCACCTTAGCTACTCTAGAGGGAGATCCTGGAGAACTTTTATCTTGAGCTTATCACATACCAGGTTCTTTACACGTGTTATCTTGTACCAGCCTCACCAGCCCCACCAGCCCCAGGAGGTGTCTGCTATTCACCACACTTTACAAATTAGGAACTGGAGGCACAAAGGGTTTCAGGAATTTGCCAAGTTGGTGAGTGTTGAAATCAGCACTCAAATACAGGTCTGACTCTAAAACCCTTTTCATTGTACCGTTTTGCTACTGAACTACTCAAACCTCCTTTGGTGAAGGGCAAATTATTAAGTACCTCCTATGAATTCAAGGAATAATCAGTTCACCCAGACCCTCTACCTTTCTGAGCCTCAGGGTACCGATCATGAAATAGGAGTGACACCAGCAGTATTGGATTACTGAGAAAACAGGAGACAATACATGCGAAGTACTTAGTGCAAGGACTTGCATATAGTAAGCATTCAATAAATAACAGCCATCATTAACAGAAGCACATTCTGCTCAAGGAACAAGTTAAAATCTAAGCTTTTCACATACATGAAGTTCTTTTAGCATATTTATATTTGTCATGGATATTACAAAATGGGTATTATATTACCTTCACATTATCTTTATTGTTTTAACTTTCAACTTTTATACATTTTGAATTTTATACCTTTTCACGGTATTGGTAATATCAGTAATAACTATGTGGGTATTTATCACATTAATTTATACTGTCTTGAAAGTCTGCAATAATTAATAATATTTTAAATCATTTTAAGCCCTAAGTCTTTTGGAAAAGATTATCATTTTCTTTAATTTATATGTAAATGGCCTCTGCTGATATATAGTATAGTTGGTATTGTAGTAGACCAAATCTTGGGCCCCTTTTCTCCCTACCAGCACATTGGTGACTATATTGCTTAATACGGTAAAAGGGACTTTCCAGATATAATTACATTTACTTAATTGTTGACTTCAAGATAGGATTAGTATTCTGGGTTATCCACATGAGCCCAGTATAATCACCTGTGGCCTTAAAAGTAGAAATTTCAGTGGGGTGAGGGCAGCAGAGGAAGTCAGAGAGATTCAAAGAATGAGAAAGATTTGAATTGCTATGCTGTTGGCTTGAAGGTGGAGCGGGGCACGTGGGAGCAAGACAAGGAAATGAGTTCTGCCAACGAGTGAGTTTAGAAGAAGTCCTGAGTCCTAGATGAGAACTGTATCTTAGGCCACTAATTGGCTTTTAGCCCAATGAGACTCTGAGAAGGGAATCTAGCCATGCCCTGCTAGACTGTTGACCTACAGAAATGGTGAAATCATGCTTTTGTCGTGTTTTAAGCCATTAAATCTGTGGTAATCATGGTAGCAATGGAAAACTGATATAACCATCAAGAGGCAGAGTGACATGGGAGGTTACCTTGTTTCTTCTCCTACGTTAAGCTTCTTGAGAATTGACCAGCACTAAACAAGTAGAGGTAGAATTTGCAAGAACTAATTCTTGGAAATGTATCCCTCCAGGTAACTTAACTTATTCCTGTTACATTTAAAATTAACTTTCTCTTACTTCTTTGTCATTAAGGTCAATCATCCCTAAAGTCTGTAGTTAAATATGCTATCTGGGAAAAAGGGGTGTCCTTTTTCCCTCTGGGTATGAGGGGCGGGGTCCTTACAATATCTTGAGAAAAAGAATTTTCTGAGACTCGCGTGGGAGGATGAGTGATTTTTATTTGCATGAAATTATATCCCTAAGTTTCCAAAGTCCTATTGCAGTCATAGAAGTGTAGCTGGGGCTTCAGTAGAGCTAGAAACAAAGCCAGTGTCTGGAGTGTCTGTCCCATGTTGCAGCTGGGTCCAGTTCAGCATCAGGCTAGTTGCAGCCCATGAGTCCATTGTGTGGGGGTCCACATGGCCGTGGCCCATGGGGCGAATACAGGAGAGTGCGCCAAAGCAACAAGAGCCCCAAGGGCAGTAAGAGTACAAGAGCACAAGAGAGAACTCCTTTGTTTAGGGGATTAAATATCCCAAATTTTGCAGCCTTGCAGTGGCTATGCCCATTCTGGCCAATGACCTGTCCGCAAATGTGACTGACAGACAAGTACCTTCCTGTCATCGCTCCAGCTTTCCTGGGCATGCGTCTGTTCTCCTCCCTGTCCAGTCCCTTCCCCCAGCGATCTGCAGGGAACAGACCAGTGGCTCCCTGGGGAGTGTAAAGCTGCAGCTTCCTGGTGAAGCTGCCCAAATGACATGCCTATAGTATTTGGCCTTCCCTTTGCTCCTTTCCTGTTATTAATAACTAGGTTGATTGCAATGGTATCAAACACACCTCAGAACCTGTCTTGACCATGTTATTTCGGGGACTCCCCACTTCCTATTGGGTACATTCTAAATTCACGGGCTTGGTGGTCAAACCATTCACCACTCTTCCAGTCCTAAATAAGGACTGGCAGCACTTGTGAAACTCTCTAAAAATGATCAGCAACTGAGTTTAAAGTGACCTAGAATCGACGTGCTTTAATTTATCATTTTCAAAGGAACTAATGTATGGTGATTGCTACTGAATCTCACATTTTATGAATCATCTCTCCAAAATAACTAGCTATTTTGAATTCTAACTCTATTCGTCAAAATGGTGGTCACCGTTAGTCATCCAGTGCCAGAGTTCTTAAAGTCTGAAAAGTAGACAAATAAACTTAGGTGTGTTTTCTTTATGCCTGTGGGAAACTTCTTTCGTTGAACTGATTAGAGAAACAGACAAAAATGACTCAAATCTCTTCCGGGAGAGACAGTAAGATGTCAAGTAAAAGGACTGAATGCTCACTGACACTCACGATGGTGAAGGACAATCAGCATTTTGTCCATTTGGTTTATACTTTAATTCTCAATCATATTATGTATTTGTTTAAAAAAAGAATTTCTGCCTGTTTGTTTTCCCCAAGAATGTTGACATTTTATAAGTCTCACAATTCTCATCAAGATATTCAATTTATCAAATACTGTTATATGATATCAAGGCAGAAGGTTTTAATTAAACTAAAATTCAATTTAATCCTGAAAACAGATAAGAATGTGAAAGTTAAATGACTGTAATTATAACCATTTTACCCCTATAGATATCTTGTACATATCTGTTTCTAATTTAATTTCTATCCATGAACACTATTACTAATTAGGCAATTTAAAATACCCAAATTAGTTTGGTCAATATTAAGTTAGTTTTGAATATCTGTATCTACCAACCATGAATAACAATTATATTTTCTGTGTTTTAGAAACACTGTTATAATGGAGAGATATCAAGATACATAAATATGTAAATCTTATACTTAAAAATTTATTATTTAAATCCAAAGTAGTACTTCTACTCATTCATTATTTTATTCACTCCTATGTACAGTGGTCCCTCGGTTTTCGAATGTACTCCATTCCAGAAGACCGCCCGAGTTCTGAAATGTTCGAAAACCGAGGGATCGACAGCCGACAGCTACGCCTCCGGATCTTGCCCTCAGCGGAAGCCGTGCGGCATGTTCGACTTCTGAGGCGTGTTCGAAAACCGAAGCATTTCTGTCCAGGTTTATGGCATTCGTAACCCAAAATGTTCATCAACAGAGACGTTCGAAAACTGAGGCACCACAGCGTACACATTTACTCAAGTCCTATCAATTGCCAGGAGCTTCAATATAGGACATATTTCAGGTGCTCCCCAAAAGCCATCATTTCTCACCATCTTTGGTATATACCCAGAATACATGTCTAAGCTTCCTTTCCAGTTAAGGTGCTCAAGACTGAGTGTTAGCTGGTGGAGCAATGGGTGCTATTACCAGGCCTGGCCCATAAAAATCTCCCACATGCCCTCCTCCTCCATGCTCTTTTGCCCCCAGGTCTGTTTGGAATGGAGACAACCTCAGGGAAATGCTGGAATCAACTGTGAACTGTGGAAGAGGTGATTAGCTTGGCTCCCTGAATAACTGCATACGGGAAGGCCATCCCATGACCTATTCACTTCCCTAATACTGTTAAGTGCTCAAGGAGTAACAGTCTACTGTGTTGGAACCATTATCTATTTTAGAGACAATCTGTTACTGTGGTTAAACTATCCTAATTAATACAATGGAAAAATCCAGGAGAGCACAGGACCCTACAGGAATGCAGAGCAAGGGTGATTACCTCTCCCAGAAAGGACTATGAAAGGCTCTAAAGTGGGGTAAAGTGAGAGCTGGGATTTGCCAGCTGGACAAGGAGAACAGGAGTGAAGAAGGGAGGATTTCTGTTGAGGAAGAAGTTGATAGCCTGGGCAGAGGCATGGAGGCTGGAGACATTTTCCTCTGTTTGGTGTGTCTCAAATAGTTAGTCTAAAATGGCAGGAGCGTGGAGTACATGAGAACAAGTGATGGGAACTGAATCTGTACAGTGGGCAAGAGCCAGATTATGAATCATGGTCACTGAAAGACTTAAGCCAGAGTCTTGCTTGGGCTTGTG